CATGCTTCTGTTACAATGGCCTTCCAGGTGCCCCAGTTTCACCACACAAATCTCTAAAACACGTGACTTTCATTATATTACTCCCTTGTCTAGGAACATCAGTGTCTCTCTGATCAAACACATGTTCCTATTATCAATAACTCCCTACCTAATCACCCATTTTTTTATGCTTAATTCTTCCCAATAAGATACCCCCAATCTAATCATGCTGGGCATTTCCATTTACAGCCTAATTCCTTCTCTCATAAAGCTCCTGTCTCTTCACTTTATTTATTTTTTTAATCCTCACCCGAGGACATTTTTCCATTGATTTTTATTTTTTAATATAATATAATCCTATCTAATAAAAGAGAAACATGCAAATTGACCATAACCCCAACACCCTCCCCATTGGCTAATCAGCAGGATATGCAAATTAACTGCCAACCAAGATGGCTGCCGGCTGCCAGGCAGCTGAAGCAAACAGGAGGCTTGCTTGCTCCAGTGACGGAGGAAGCCAAGGTTCCCGGCCTGCGGCAGCCCAGCTCTGAGTTCTGGATGCAACAAAGTTGCAATTATAGAACCTAAACAAGCTCCAGATAGCTGCTTTCAGCTGGCAGCGCAGCGGGCTCAGAGCTTAGAGCGGCAGTGATGGCAACAGTGTTTCAATTATAGAACCTAAACAAAGCCCAGATATCTGCTTTCAGCAGCCGAGGCCTCAAGCTGGAGCCGGCCTCAGAGCTAAAGCCGGCTCTCAGCTCCAGTGACAGCCATAGAAAGTAAATAAATCCCAGAATAAAAAGAAAAAAGAAAAAAAAAGGAGAGGCTGGGAGCTTCAATCACCCGCCAGCCTGAAAACAGCCCTCAGCCCCTCACCCAGACTGGCCAGGCACCCCAGTGGGGAGCCCCACCCTGAAGGGGGTGCGGGCAGCCTAAAAACAGCCATCAGCCCATCATCCAGGCTGGCCAGGCACCCAAGCGGGACCCCACCCTGATCCGGGACACCCTTCAGGGCAAACCAACCGGCCCCCACCCGTGCACCAGGCCTCTATACTATACTACAGGCAGGGTGGGACAGCGCGAGCTGCCATCCGGGCCCCATGTGCAGCCCTCGGCAGCGGGACATAAGCCCCGCCCCCAGCCGGGACCCCTGTGTGCCACCTGAGCCCCCAGCTGGGACCCCCGTGCCGCCTGAGCCCCGCACTGCTAAGCCCTGCTCCCAGCCGGGACCCTATGACTATTGGAGAGCAGGAAAGTGCCGCTGGGCCCTGGGTCGGTGTGGTGATCCGGCCATCGGTAAGTAGAAAAGTGCAGCCTGTAGGCAGCCCCCAGCTGCGCCTGATCCGGGAGCAGGAAAGCAAGCCTGGCCTGAGGGCAGCCCCCAGCTGGGCCTGATCAGGGAGCAGGAAAGCCCGGCCTGTGGGCAGCCCCCAGCTGGGCCTGCTCCCCCATCGCCATGGCGATCCTGGAGCAGGAAAGCCCAGCTTGCAAGCAGCACCCCCATCCTGGCCATAGCTCAAGGGAGAGTACAACATGCAGTGGAGGCCAGGAGCCTGAGAGATCAACACAGAGGGGCTCCTGCTCCAAGCCTCCATGGTGTGGCTTGGGGCAGGCCCCCAGCAGACACACATACACACACACACACACACACACACACACACACAGTGCCTGCTCTGAGCCTCCAATGTGGCTGGGGGCAGACCCCCAGTGGGGACACACACACACACACACACACACACACACACACACACACGGCAACTGCTTCGAGCCTCTGCTGCCAGACTGTGGCCATCAGTACGACATCCACTGAGGGCTCCCGGACTGTGAGAGGGGCAGGCTGGGCTGAGGGAACCCCCACCCCCCAGTGCATGAATTTCGTGCACTGGGCCTCTAGTCTATATATATAAAAGGCTAATATGCTAAGTGTCCATCTGACCGGTTACTATGTTGCATACTGACCACCAGGGGCAGACACTCAATGCAGGAACTGCCATGAGACGCACTGGCCATTTACATAGACATGGCATCATGGACCTGGTGCCCACAAAGCAACACTCAGCTTCCCCCAAGTGGGACTCAGGTCCCGCCACCAACCCAGAGCAACGGTCCACCAAATCACAGCCGACACTGCTGAGACCCCATGGTGCAAAATGCTGCCCACAGCCCAGCCCAGCCCAGCCCAGAAATGGTGGCTGTAGACGCCGGGTAATGATGTCACGTAGTGATGCCCAGCTTCCTCTCTGTAGTGATGTGTTGGGGTCCAACCCCAACAGGTCCAGGGGTTCCCAAAGGTGTGAACGGAGTCGGCGAAGAAGGAATGACACAGAGACAGCGTTCAGTTGATCAGCATAGCGAGGTTCTTTTTTTATTCTCTTGTTACATCTGTATTTATACCATTTGATTTTTTAAAAAATATATTTTATTGATTTTTTACAGAGAGGAAGGGAGAGGGATAGAGAGTTAGAAACATCGATGAGAGAGAAACATCAACCTGCTGCCTCCTGCACACTCCCCACTGGGGATGTTCCGCAACCAAGGTACATGCCCTTGACCAGAATCAAACCCGGGACCCTTGAGTCTGCAGGCCGATGCTCCATCCACTGAGCCAAACCGGTTAGGGCAATATACCATTTGATTTTAATCCTATCCATTCTACTCCAAAGGTTAGGGCGTTTGTTATCTCCATTCCAAGGTCACTACTCTATTGTTCTGTTAAGCTACAAGGAAGTAACTGAAGGAGATTATCCTAAGTAAAGATTATGTAGCTTAAGCGTGATTGTTCGTTGTTAAAGTGATTAACTACCCACCTGGCACTTAGTTAAGGGGTTTTACTGATTCCCTTCCTTAGTCCTGTTAATCCCTAACTCCAGGGAAAAATCCCCACCTGGGGAAACAACCTTTCCCGGAGAGGTGACCTTGGTTAAAACACATAGCGCTAAGAAGGGGAGCAAACATATTAAGAACAGTATGCCATATACGCCAGGTCCCTTGAAACATATGCTGTGCAGATGTTTCTTCCCTGCAGCGACTGTGTCAAGCAGCAAGGATGGACCAGCTTCTGGCAAATTCCCCCTTTTTTATTTTTTATTTTATTTTATTTTTTTCTCTCTGGTTTATTTTAACCTGTCAACTCAATACTGTTATTTGTTAAGAACTGAGGTGCCACTGGGCTGCCGGGTCACTGTCTCCATGCTTGGACCGGAGTTAAAGCTCATCTGTAAACACTGGCCACACTAACCCTGCCTGCCCCTCCCCCTTTTTTATTTTTTAAATGATAGGGCAAGTGTAAATCAGCGGCCACCTCTCTGATTGGGTTAAGACCTGTTTGTGACTTTGCCAACAGGTGAGTCCGAGGCTTAACCCTATATCAGCTCCCCACAGTGACGACTAGCCTCCTTGCAGTTTCTTCAGCCCAGGAACACAACTTGCTTTATAGCCAGGTGCAAACATTTCACACTTTAACCAAATGTCTGTGAAGTGTTTTCCCCTGCCTCATCTCGTTTGATCCTCACAGAAGTCCTGGAGTAGGTAGATAGGAGACTATTTTCTTTTCATTAGCTGGAAAATGGAGATTTAGAAACTTGACCCAACTGAAAAGAAGTAAGAATTGGTAGACCTTGAAAATGACTTCAGGTTTTCTCACTGTACAGGATATAGTCAAACACTGCTACAGTTAAATATTTTACCCTTTGTTCTCCCTGTGTGATCTATAATAATAATCTGCTTCATGTTGATATTTACTGCTGTATTGCTGACATTTAACTGAAAGAGAAGTTGGGGTGCTTCACTGGGCTGGAAAAAGTTTAGCTAAGTCAGAAAGCAAGTCTAATTAAGCAAGTTTAGTCTATATCTATAAAAGGCTAAGTTGACTCGTGCATGCACCATACATATAAAGCTCTCGCTGGCGCCAATCACATGCGTGTGTTTTGATTTGTCATTGTAGATTGTGAAATTAGTTGACACTTCCATTATAGAGAAAGGGCAAATAGCGATATTAAAATATTTCTTCTAATTAATTTTATTTCAATGTGCACAAATCCGTGCATTGGGCCACTAGTGTGTGTATATAGTAGTTGTTGATTGAGGAAGGGAGAGGGAGAGAGATAGAAACATCAATGACGAGAGAGAATCATTGATCAGCTGCCCCCTGCACATGCCCTATTGGGGATCGGCCCACAACCTTGGCATGTGCCCTTGACCAGAATTGAACCTGGGACCCTTCAGTCCCCAAGCAGACACTCTATCCACTGAGCCAAACCAGTTAGGGCTTTCCATTGATTTTTAGAGAGAGTGGAAGGAAGGTTGAGAGACAGAGAGAGAGAAACATTGATGTGAGACACATCAACTGGTTGCCTCCAGCACACACTCTAACTGGGCCAGTGATCAAGACTGCAACCAAGGTAAGTGCTCTTGACTGGAATCTAACCTGGACCCTTCAGTCCGAGAGCCTACACTCTATCCACTGAGCCAAACCAGCTATGACCTGTCTCTTCACTTTATAACCAATGACTGGCTAATGCCATCCTATACTGATTTTTTAAAAAATTTTAATATATTTTTATTGATTTCAGAGAGGGAGAGATAGAAACATCAATGATGAGAGAGAATCATTGATTAGCTGCCTCCTGCAGGCCCCCTACTGGGGATTGAGCCCATAGCCTGGGCACGTGCCCTTGACTGGAATTGAATCCGAGACCCTTCAGTTCGCAGACCGACGCTCTGTATCCACTGAGCCAAACCAGCTAGGGATTACAATGTTTTTTATTGATTTGAGAGAGAGAGGAAGGGAAAGAGAGATAGAAACATCATTAACATCATTGAGAGAAATATCGACATTGATTGGCATGCCGTCTGCTGGGGATCGAGCCTGCAACCCCAGCATATGCCTTGATCGGGAATTGAACCGTGACCTCCTGGTTCATGGGTCAACACTCAACCACTGAGCCACACTGGCTGGGTATACTGAATTTTTTCAGCTACAAATTCTTAGATATTAATAAAAGTTCCTTTTTTTTGGCCAGGGGAAGAATGTGAACGCAGTCCTCCACTGCCACAAATTATGCAGCCGAGTTTCCCACATTTGGGGGAATCACAGGGTCAGCACATCCACAGTACAATGGCTGAGACTCGCCCCGGGAAAACCATCTCCGTGATCACGAAGATGGTATCTCCCCTGCCAGGTAAGTATCAGTTGATTTTATGTGACTAGAAAGCTAATGTGTGGGGATCTGACACACAACAGTTTAATATTATACCCTTCCAAGTTGTGGACTTGTTCCAAATGTTAAGAGGCTTGGATCTCTGCAGTATGTCCAGTCAAGCAAATCATCAGAGGACTTGAGCTGAAATTACCTCAACCGACACTTGTTTCAGGAATGCTGCCATCATACAAAATATTTCTGGAACTCCTTCACAGAAACGTAGCGAGTTTATGAGCCACATTTAAATGATTCACTACTTCAAAATTACTTTTTTGTTGTTGTTAATCCTCACCCGAGGATATTTTTCCATTGATTTTTAGGGAGAGTTAGAAGAGAAAGACAAAGACAAAGAGAAACATCAATGTGAGAGAAATTCATCGATTGGTTACCTCCTGCACAAGCCCGGACCAGGGCCTGGCCCCAGGAGGAGCCTGCAATCCAACCTAGGTGCGTGCCTTGACCGGAATCAAACCCAGAACCCTTGATCTATCCACTGGGCAAACCAGCTAGAGCAGAATTACTTTTTTAAAAAAGCTGACCCATTAGCCAACTTTATCATTTATCTGTTTTCCAGATTTTGTTCTAGATTACTTCTGGAAATGCCCAGAGGCCCCATTCTTAGCCTTCTTGTTCTCTCCTTTAACGTTTGCATTAATTCTTAGAATTTCTTGATCACCTCTGGGTAGATAACTCCCAACTCCACAACCTTAACCCTGACTTCTTACTCCTAAGCTCCAGACCCACATTTTCATTTCCACACCTCTACGTAGCAGCACTTCGAATTCCGTGTTCCCCAAATGCGCTGGTTACTTCAGCCCTGAAACCTGCTCATCCTTTCCTCCCTATTCAGGTTAATAGCACTGTCTTCTCATTTACACAGACTAGAAACCTGTCTTTATGACTCATCTTTGGTTAAGTGCAGTGATTAGGAGCACAGACTCTGAAAGGACTTTTTGGGTTCAAACCCGGTTCTAATTGCTGTGTGAAGTTTGTCCTTTGTTTCAGTTTCCCCACATAAAAAATGGAGATGATAATAGTGCCTTTTATAAAGTTCAGATGACTAGATGTTTAATACATATTGCCTGACTCACAGTAAATGCCATTCCTCACAGCCAATGTGTGACCCTTTTCAGAACTCAGCTCCAATGATTCCTCTGAGAAGCCTTCCCTCCTGCATCCCATCAGGTGGGTAGTTGACCCCTTTCTTCCTCATTGTCCCACTGAGTCCTTATCTACTAGCAATATATTATCCTGTATTTCCCATTATTTGTTCCAGTGCATCTACCAAGCTGAAACTTCCTTTAAAGCAGGGGTGGGGGACGTCTGGCCTCAGGGCCATATAAAGCCCACGAAATCATTTGGTCTGGCTCTGCCAAAGCATTAGGGGTGAGTTAACTAAATGTTTGATCAAATATAGCAGGCTAATTTTTTAAAAAATATATTTTATTGATTTTTTACAGAGAGGAAGGGAGAGGGATAGAGGAGTTAGAAACATCTATCAGCTGCCTCCTGTACACTCCCTACTGGGGATGTGCCCGCAACCAAGGTACATGCCCTTGACCAGAATAGAACCTGGGACCCTTGAGTCTGAAGGCCGATGCTCTATCCACTGAGCCAAACCAGTTAGGGCTAAATTGATAATTTGTTATGAATGATACTATAAATATCCAAATGCCCTTGGCAGAAAAAAGGTTCCCCACCCCTGCTTTAAAGACCCGTTTCTCAATTATTTGTGTATCTCAAATGCCTAGCACCACGCCTGGCACATGACAAGTATGCTATAAATGTTGGCTGAGTGAATCTAGTCAGTTACTAAACACTGTCAATTTTTCTCCCTGGATGTCTCTTATCCTCTTTCCTGCTTTTTCAAGCTCTAAACCTCTCACATAAATTACTGCAAAGCTTATTAGTATCATCAAAAATTTTTGCTGTCTTCCGATTGCCACTAAAATCGTGAGTTGGAAGTCACTCTTCTCAAAAACTTACTATAAGATTAAAGTCCAAATACCCTGCTGCCATGTATTCAAGGCCTTCCAAGGATTAGCCCTAAATTATTTCTAGCCTTATTTCCTTCAAAAAATTCTATGCTCCAGATTACGCTAGTCTTTTCTTTCTTCAACATATCCTTCATCTCCACTTGTGTTTTTTTGTTAAATATGTTTTTATTGATTTCAGAGAAGAGAGAGGAGAAACGTCAACGATGAGAACTATTGATCGGCTTCCTCCTGCAAGCCCCACACTGGGGATCAAGATTGCAACCTAGGCATGTGCCCTGCCTGGAAATTGAACCATGACCTCCTGGTTCATAGGTGGACACTCAACCACTGAGCCATGTTGGCCGGGCTCCACTTGTTTTTACCCATGCTGTGATTTCAGCCTAAAACAGAGTTTGCAAACTGGTAGACCCTAAATTTTTTATTTTTTGGCCCACACGCATTTTTAAAAAGAAATTGAACCAATGTTTAAGTTGTGAGATTCAGCATAAACATTAGGAAGAGCAAAGTTCTTGAAATATAAGATTTGGCAATACTGGGCCCCTTTGCTTGTTAGCAGCAACCAACCAGAGCTGCACTGCCAGCTGCCCCATTCTCTCAGGGCACATATTCGTCACCAACCAGCTTTAAAAGATCTCCCTGCAAATGCACAAGATCAGGCTAGTGGCAGGACAACTGGGTCTGTCTCCTGATGTTACACAACATAAATAACATCTTTCCTGTGATGTCTTCTACCCCCAGACTGTTTAACTTGAATCTCTCAGACTCTAGATCTAATTCTGTTTAGCAAAAATATCAGCTAGACTCACAACGGTTCTCAATCTGTGGGTCGAGACCCCTTTGGCGGTCGAACGACCCTTTCACAGGGGTCGCTTAAGACCATCCTGCATATCAGATATTTACATTACGATTCATAACAGTAGCAACATTACAGTTATGAAGTAGCAACGAAAATAATTTTATGGTTGGGTCACAACATGAGGAACTATATTTAAAGGGCCAGAAGGTTGAGAACCACTGAGCTAGAGGAACAAGTTGAAGGACACTGTGAAAAAAGTCTGTCAAATACAAAAGATCATTCTCGAGGACAACTGGCCCAACCTCTTCAATAAGTTCGTGTTACAAAAAAAAGTGTTGGCCCTGGCTGGTGGTTCAGTGGTTAGAGAGAGCATCAGCCTGCACACTGAAGGGTCTCAGTTCGATTCCCAGTCAAGGGCATGTACCTGGGCCTGGGTTGCAGGTTCTCGCCACACCTGGTGGGTCGCAGTGTGTGGGGTGGGAGGCAACCAATCAATGTATCCCTCTAACATCCATGTTTTTCTCTCTCTTCCTCCTCATCCCTCCTTCCAACTCTCCCTGAAAAGCAATGGAAAAAATATCCTCAGGTGAGGATTAACAAACAAAAATGTTCCAAGAATCCAGATTAGGAGAGAAAAAGAGTCAAGACACATAACGTGGTGTAATGCATAGTTCTTGGCTAGGATTCCAGATTGGACAAAAATTATCTCTAAAACTTCTTGGGACAGTTGGGAAAATGTGAATATAGATTTGTATTAGGTCAAGGACATATTAATTTTAAGCGGTTATTTTGGCAATGTATGTTGATTTTTAAAATCTATGTACTGAAGTAAAAAATTAAAACAACCAACTTGCTCTTCCACTCATACTTTTTACCTTACAAGTTTAGAATGGGCCCTGGCTGGTGAGGCTTGGTTGTCTGGGTGTTCTCCCGTGCACCAGGAGGTTGCTGGTTCTATTCCTGGTTAACAGCACACTCCGTAGGAGGTGTACAGGAGGCGGCTGATTGGTATTTCTCGCATGGATGTTCCTCTCCCTCTCCCTTCCTCTCTCAAAATCAAGAAACTACTCTTTTGCCGAAACCGGTTTGGCTCAGTGGATAGAGCGTCGGCCTGCGGACTGAAAGGTCCCAGGTTCGATTCCCGTCAAGGGCATGTACCTTGGTTGCAGGCACATCCCCAGTAGGGAGTGTGCAGGAGGCAGCTGATCGATGTTTCTAGCTCTCTATCCCTCTCCCTTCCTCTCTGTAAAAAATCAATAAAATATATTTAAAAAAAAAAAAGGAAAAAAAAAAAAAGAAACTACTCTTTAAAGAAAAGTTTAGAATGGGTTGGTAAATTCGTAAAAGACCAGAAAACAAATAGTTGAGGCTTTGTGGGCCATAGTTTTGTGCAACTCAACTCTACTGTTGTGATCTAAAACAGCCATAGACAACATGTAAACAAACAGGCATGGCTGTGTTCCAACTTTTTAAAAATATTTTTTTATTGATTTCAGAGAAGCAGCAAGGGGGAAGAGAGAGACATAGAAACATCAATGATGAGAGAGAATCATTGATCGGCTGACTTCTGCACGCTCCACACTGGGGATCGAGCCCACAACCTGCGGAAGTGCCCTGACCGCGAATCGAACCATGACCTCCTGGTTCATAGGTCAACAATGCTCAACCACTGAGCCACACTGGCCGGGACCAATACAATTTTTTTTTTTACAAAAACAGACAGCAGGATGTAAGTTTGCCAAACTCTGACCCAGGAACAAATACCACTTCTCCTGAAAAAGTCTTTCCTGGTGCCCGTCACAGTCAGTGGCTTTATCTTCCTTCCCTCTGCTTACATATTGCTTGTGAAGCCACTTCTGGTATTTATTATGTCTTATTATATAATCATCTCCACTAGGGAGTAAGTCTAGAAGGTAGATGCCATTTTGCTACATGAACTCCCCCATACCTACCCCAGTGAGTTCTTTGCAGAATCGTCTGAATATTGTTTCCCAAAACCAAATCTACCCTAAAAGGAAGGTTTGGGACCATTCATGATACTGAAAAATGAGCAGTAGGTTCTGAAAGTAAATTTGAAGGAAACTCGGGGGGAAAAGCACTACTGGTATCACTAGAGTACATAGATCGCCTCTTATGCTCTATATTGTAATGTGTTCACCACTAATTAATGATCAGACCTGTGCGTGTGAAAGTATAGAAGAGGATAAAAAAAGTAGTAGAGATTCAGTTGGCACAGGAATGCCCTATGCCCACCGCGCTTACTCCCACTAGAGCATCTAGAGTACTAGTAGATTTACAGCTGGTACACGATAGTGCCAACAAATTTAAAATGTAACACTCAAGGAAAAGAACACTTCCTTTTTCTCATGAAGGGAGAAGGTGGCAGCAAACGCCTACAGAAGTGTCTAGAGGTCTGACAACCACAGCGGGTTGTTCCGGTTCCCTTCCTCACACTGGCTTTCTCGGTTAGAAGGCATTGGGGGTAGAGGCTTCCCTGCCTGCGATGGAATCCCAGATTCCAAAGCAAAGGCAGAACGACAGAGAAAGGTACATGAATAACTTCTGTGGGAAGTGTCCCCACCCCAGGAACAGAAGACATGGAATTAGGGCCGGAGGCAGACCCTGGAACAAAACAAAGTTCAGATCACTGGAGAGTGCTGGCTGCTATAGAACAGGGGACAGGAGGGAAGGATGTAGGAGAGCGCTCAGGGAGAAGAAGATGTGAGGTGCCCACTAATCCCAGACAGACAGCCTCTTAAAACAGAGGTTAGTTCTAAGAAAAGGATAGGTTACAAAGTAAGAAAGAAGGGGGATTAAGGTGAGAAAAAAGGCCAAAGCAGGGGAGAAGTTTTACAAGAATGGGGAGTAATGTTGAATTAAGAAGTTAGAGTTGAGTGAAAGGTTTATTATTAGTGCAGTCGACACGATGGAACAGCACATGTAACACAACCAGCAACCTGCAGAGACATAGAGCAAAGGGTGGGGAGGCCTGAGCTGAGCTTCCTGGCTCCATCCGAGGGTGATGACAGGCGGGATGGGCCTTGGTAAGGCTGGCAGGGGCCGCGGGGAGTGGAAGAAATGTAGGAACCAGATTAAGTATAGCAGCGTTTTCAAATTCCTGAGCACAATGTCCGGGAGCTGGAACATATGACTGCTCCCTACTCCCTTCAAGCTGTAGCCCTCCAATCCAATCCCAGTGGAGCCATGACCAACGATAGGGGTCCTCAAACTACGGCCCGCGGGCCACATGCGGCCCTCCGAAAACATTTATCCGGCCCGCCGGGTGTTTTTGCCGCCGCTGTGTGCATAGGAATTTGTTCGTAGTTTTTTTTTTAAACTATAGTCCGGCCCTCCAACGGTCTGAGGGACAGTGAACTGGCCCCCTGTTTAAAAAGTTTGAGGACCCCTGACCCAGACCTACAGCAAGCTGGCCTGGACTGAAACTCCAAAAAACAGAAGCTATTAGAAGGCCTTCTCTCTTCAACCCCACTCCCACCTACATATTAAAATACTCACACCCTCTACCCTCCCCTTCTCTTACTCTGCAGTCACCCTAGTGCAGTGATGGCGAACCTTTTGAGCTCGGCGTGTCAGCATTTTGAAAAACCCTAACTTAACTCTGGTGCCGTGTCACATATAGAAATTTTTTGATATTTGCAACCATAGTAAAACAAAGATTTCTATTTTGATATTTATTTTATATATTTAAATGCCATTTAACAAAGAAAAATCAAACAAAAAAAAATGAGTTTGCGTGTCACCTCTGACACACGTGTCATAGGTTTGCCATCACTGCCCTAGTGGGTCAAGGAATGCCTGTGGAGTCTGAAATGGAGCTGCAGTCATTCAGGGGCGTGGGTGAGACAGAGTATTGTCTGTACTCAGGGACAAAGGCAAAATTTCTGCCCCATCTTGCCTGGTGAAGCTTAGAACCCAGCTATATGTCTCCCAAGGAAATTGGGTAGTTTCTTCAATTAATACTCTAAATCCAAAGTTTTACGATGAGACCCGGGAAGGGCCGGGAGCAGTTCCCCAGAGGCTCAGGCATCGGTGCTGCCTGTCACATCCATCCCTGGAAGAAAGGAAGCTCATCTCAGAGTGGGTTACGGAGTGTTGGAGCCGACATAAGTTCCGCCAAGGACTCCCTTGGCCCTTCCTACATTAAAGCCAAAGGTTGTGCTGAAAAGGAAAAATATAAAATAGACCCCACCCTGTCCCACCCTATTCAGAATCCCCACCATAGGAACAATAAAAGAAAAATTTTAAGTTTTGTTCATTTTTTTCTTTTTCCTTTCTTTAAAAAAAAGAAGTAAATAAATTAAATTGCCAACAATGTGGCTGGGCTGGAAAAGTGGGGTAGCCTTAAGTAGGCCATTCTTAAAAAAAAAAATGTGGGAGGGAGTGAAATATAAACACACCACAATGGCCAAAGGGAATTATCAAAATGACTAGTTCAATCACAGGGCTGGAGGGCAGGGAGCTACTATGGCCTGTGCCACAGAGGCAGGTGCCTACCTGACTTCAGCAAATGCCAGAGAGCTGCTTCTTGCTGAGCAGATTCGCCCCAACAGACTAACCCCTACGCCCACTCCTGTCATTCCTTAGCTAAGAGAAAGTATAGGAAAGAAGAGCTCATCTGGAAATTTTCGGCATCCCAACCTGCACACCTGCAGACCAACGGGAGCCTGCACCTTTAAGATGGACTAAACAAGGTATTGCTTGGCACAGAGTTCCAGTCTTCCCCTCAGGGCCATCAGTGATGGCCAGTTTCTGGCTCATTACTTCTAGGGTTTTGGTTCCACCCTCACTATTTCTTCAGGATGTCTGCTCCCCAGAGCTGCCCGCTAAGTGTTTAGAGTCAACAGGCCTGCCTGCTCAGATTCCCTGGTGTGAAGAGGGGAATGATTCAAAATTTCTCACTCCACCCTGATCCTTCAAGAGAAAATGAGTATCTTTGTGCTTTCTGAAAATATCTGGAACCAGGGACCCTAGGCAGGGAAGTGGGTATAGAATGGGGACTTTCCCAACCAGACTGAAAATTTACAGACATCTTAGGGGAAGGAATTAGGCAAAAGAAGGGAACCTGGGTTTCCCACCCACAAGGCTGAGCAAAGTGTTCCAGGGCCCCTCAGTGCCCGAAGAGCAGGGAGATGTGTGGCTCAAGGATAAGCCACAAGATTAAGGACAGGGGGGAGGACTCAGGGCTCAGCTACTGGAGTGATGAGATTTTCTGATTTCCATCTCTTCCTGACAGCCCGCCGGGATCTATATCTCTTCAACGCCATGGGCAAATATCATGACGAGCCCCGGCTCCTGCACCATGTCATCGCCCATATGCTGGTTCTCACAGGCCATCACGACAACAGCCTGCTTGCCAGGGATGCGTTTGGCCACATAGTTCTCATAGTACCGCCGGTTCATCTGTCTTGTCTCTAGTGTGGCCAGACCCTGGGGCCAGCTTCGCTCATGGGCATTTTCTATCAGCTCGTTGACAATAGAGGCAGGACAGCCACTCTCCACCAGGGAGCGCTTGATTACAGCCTGGAGGACAGCATCTGGGGTGGAGATCATCCCTCCCCAGCGGGTCACTCTTGCTGGCTGCAGGGAGTTCACCCACCTGTGTGGAGGGAGATGGAGGTGGTCATTCCAGCTCACTATCTATCTCTGCATTGCTTCTTTCCCTGATAGGAACCACCACCCTCTCTGCACTTAGCTTAACCCTATCCCTCCCTCCCTCCCTTCCTTCCTTCCTTCCTTCCTTCCTTCCTTCCTTCCTTCCTTCCTTCCTTCCATCCATCCATCATTGGTTCACAGACTCCTAATCTGTCCCTAGTTGGTCCCATCTGAGTCACCATATGTTACTCACCAGATTAAACTCCACGAGTATAGGGTCCCTATTATTTTTCTTAAAAATCCCAATACTTAGCACACATAGTGCCTGGCATGTACTAGGTGCGCAACAAACGTTTACTGAAGGAAGCAATTATTCCTCTATACTATGTCCCCTGCAGCACTATTTGCACTAGATATATCGATTCAGCCTTGACAGTTTAGTCTATGAGATATACAGGACTCCAGAACTGAAAAGGATCTTACATTTTGCTTGTTTACTTCATTTCATTTATAGATCACTTTCCTGGATTTGCACTCTCTTTTCTTCTCTGGATTGTAAACTCTCTAAAGACAGACAATATCTTCTATTTCTTTTTGGCCCTCCTAGCACTCTACAGCCTTTAATACAGGGTTTTCTACATGTGGGTATTCACCCAATTCTGGAGAAACTGCATCCTTGGGTAAACTTTCCCTTCCATCCACCCCCAAAAAGAAGAAGTCACAGACTGGCCTGAAGGTGACCCTCTTCTCCTCTCCCCGTCCTTCATCCCAACATCTGAAAAGTGGTGGCCCCAGCCCAGCCCTCCTATCATCCTTCTCTGCCACTCCCCTGCTCTTCCTCCTTTCAGGGCTCAGTGCCAGGATGTGGAGGAACTCCACGTCCTGAATGACACTCACTCTAGGATCTCATTGTATTCAATTGTCTCCTCCAGGTTCTGAAGGTTGGGGTTGACACTGCGGATTGCACGCATGTATGCCTTCAGCAGCTGGATGTCTCGCTTCTGTTGGAGAGAAAGAGAACCAGCGGTGATGGTTAAGGCAGAGAATAGATGACAGACAACAGTTTATCTGAGAATGAGGGCAATTGAAAGATCAGAGGAACTACCAGACTGTAAGCTTCATGAAGACAAGGATATGACTGTTTCATTCACAGGTGTATCCTGTGCTTAGCAAAGTGCCTTCACAGAGAAGGCATTGGATAAATGTTAGGTGGATGAATGACAGTGAGGGGATGAAGGGAAGGGAGAAGAGCTCCAATCTGACTCCCTACTAGGCCGCAGGTAGAGTATCTACTCAGCCAGGTGCACAAGCACAGGCACAGATCTGCAGCTCACATGGTGCTTATCATTCACAAGCATGTGGTTCTTTGCATACTAGGGACATGCTTTCCCCATGTTCCTCGGGCCCTACCTGCTCCGACAGCTGGTGTTTGTGTTCAGCCGAGGACTTCTCCAGCTCTGCGATGCGTGTCTGCTGCTGCTGTACCACTGAGCGCAGGTGTTTAACGCAGTTGTGGTTTGGCAGCTCATCTTTGGGCATCTCCAGGCTGCCACCCCGGGTGGGAAAAGAGAACAGGAGCACTCAATGGGACATGTGGGCAAAGGCAGAAGCTTGCTGAGAGGGCTTTCTCTTACTCCAAATTTCCAACATTCATTCATTTCTAACTTCAGTCTGCCCTCTTATTTCTCTTCACACACTTCTCCCCAGTCCCCCCCTCATCCCTTCACTGTCTACTTTCTCTGGGCTTCTTTCCCTCTCTAAGACAGTATTTTACCTACCACATGGCTCTCTTTCCCTTCTTCAGATTCTGCCTGTGCATTCATTCATGAGAAGCCCTAGATTCACAGTCCTGGCTATTGGCATTTAATCAAATATTTCACACCCCCCAAAAAGGGAGAAAATAGGGTAAGAGGAAATATGAGAAGGCTGGAAATTAGAGCAGTCAAACGAACAAAGAGAAAGTAATAATGGACTGAAACGGAAGAATAAAGTAAATCAAGTCTTAGTGTTATCACACAGATGGCTGAATTGCTGTCTCCCTTATATTAAAGCAAGAGCAAAAAGATCGGAGTTGGAAAAGCAGCATGAAAGTGAGATCTTGGGGCAGGAAGCCAGGGAGGCCAAGAACACTCCTTGCAGTGCCTATATGCACCTTAACAGTGAGCAGGGGATCCAGAGACTGGGGTATAAATGGGAATGCCCTTATCCATGTGGGCAGAAGGGAAAGAATCTCACCCGCAGCCCTGTTCACAGGTCACAGGCCGTTTTGGGTTGTGCTCACAGTCACTGAGGTGAGACATGAGGTTATCAAGCCGAACAACAGCACTACAGCCAAATACAGCGTTGTCGCAGGCAATCTGCAGCTTTGACAACATGTTCCGCATGATCCGAGGTACTGGGCGCAGGTGGGCAACCGTCACTACGCTGCGGTCCACCGGACAGGTCTGCTGCTGAGAGAACCACTGGGTGATGCAGGCATTGCAGAAAGCATGCTCGCAATGAGGTGCCTAGAGAGAGAGTAGGGCAAAAGGACACGAGAGAATTAGCAGGAGCTAAGAGCCTATATACGGTAACTGGAAAAGCCAATCAAGCCTCTGAGCAGCTCCCAGGCCCAGCGGTTGCTGGGGTCAGAGCAGAATATAGCTGCACTACGGGCAAGCAAGGTATTATGGGGACAAGCTACAGATATGTGTCTTGTGCTCACGATTCCAATTGGATTGTGACAAAAGACAAACAAGTAACAATAAGTTATGTAACAATATAAATATTCCAGGACAATAGGAGAGGTGACGTGAGGCAGTCAATTAGTAATTGCCAACTGGATTGCACATACAATAATTACCAAAGAAATTCAGAGGGTGATCCAAGCTAGGTCAATCAGGGCAGGTGTTTATGGAGAGGACAGAGTTCAATATGGGCCCTGAAGGATAAGGAGGGTGAGGGCCAGCAAGAGATTTACTGGCAAAAATTCAATGTAAGAAAGCAAAACAAAACAAAAGCCTGAACTCCTGGTGAGAGGTTGAGAGTCCTCGGTGTGGGCCCAAGTTCCTATTTTGGAGGGCTGCTTTGTCCTGAGTCCCAATGGCTATGCCTACCTTCCAAAACAGGGCTGGTTTTTCATAGAATCACATTCTCCTCAGTTTCATTAAGATCATACTTTAGCCTACTTCCTGGATAACTCAGGTAACCTCTAAAGTTAATCCCTCAAAGCGAGAGGATTCTCTGGCCTCTCTGGAGACACTATCTAGCTTCTAGCATGGGACAAACATAGTAGCGTTTAGCAGATGTTAGTAGATGTTGATGGATTGATGGATGGATGGATGGATGAAGTGCCTTCTACGTCCCAAACACTTTGCTAGGTGCGTACAATAAAAAAAGACAGTTTCTGCCTTCAGGATATTCACAGACACCAAAGACTGAAACACAGAGGCTTTGTAAGGAAAGAAGTCATTGTCAGTATCACTAATCCAATTGTCAGATTTTTTTTCCACTCAGATATTTCTTTCCAAAATCTTAGAAAACCGTATCTCCAAAAAAACTTAAATTTGTCAACTTTCCCCCCATCTCTACAGCAACTAACCCAGTTCAAGCGATCATTTCTCACCAGTATTACTAAATATGTCTTTAACTTCTACCTTGCCCCTTTATATTCCACTAGAGGCCCAGTGCACAAATTTGTGCACGGGTGGGGGCTGGCCGGCCCGCTGGTTGGGGTGGGCTTGTCGAGGGGAGGAGGAGATGGCGGGAGGTTGACCCACCAGCCCGCCCCCAAATGGGGGGGGGCGATTGGGGGCCAGCAGCCTGGGGGAGGGGCCATGGGTGGTTGGCTGGCTGGCCCTGCCCCTGATCAGTGTGGGGGGGCCCACTGGGGACCGGGCCGGCTGGGAGGAGGGGCCGCAGGAGGTTGGCCAGCCTGCAGCACTCCCCTCCCACCCTGATAGGGCCAGTTTGCTGGCCTTAGTGGGCGTCATAGCGACCAGTTGTTCTGGTCGTCACGGCATTCTGTTCACTGGCCTTTTATATATGAAGATTCTATCTTCAGAGCCAGAGTGATCATTTAAAAATACAGACTGGATCATATCACTGCCCTGCTTAAAACTTTACAATGGCTTCCCATTGTACTTAAAATAAATCCAAACACCTACTTAACTCAGGACCTGTAACATTCTGCTTGATCCGACTCTGTGCCTATGCCCTCTGCCTACCTCACACCACACTTCCAACACTGTGTTCAGGCCATTTTGGCTTTCTTTCTGTTCCTGTCCACACCCACACATTCCTGCCTCAGGACCTTTGCTTTTGCTGCTCTTTGACTGAAATGCTCTTCCTCTAAATCTTAGCATGAATAGTCCCTTATCCAGATCTCAGCTCAACTGTCATCTCCTTTGTGACCATCTTAACTAAACCTGCCATCCTTGCAGAAATATACAGAATGTACTACCTTTCATGTAAGAAAGGTAGGCAAATATATATCTGCCCTCATACATACTGGAAGGATATCAAATAAACTAATATCGATGGGGAGATTAGGTAGATAGGACAGGGATGCAAGTGTTCGCACTGTACACCATTTTAAAAATAATTTTAAAAAATTGATTTGAGAGGCGGGGGGAGAGGAGGGAAGGAGAAAAACATCAATTTGTTGTTCCACTTATTTATGCATTCATTGGTTGATTCTTGTATGGAACCCGCAACCTTGGCTTATTGGACAATGCTTTAACAAACTGAGCTACCCAGCCAGGGCCCTGTATACCTTTTGTTACTGTTTTGATTTCTGAACCATGTGAATGTTACCTATTCGAAAAATAAAGAAACATGATGTAGGGAAATCAGCATCCCTAGCAGGGGCCTCCTACCCTCGGAACTGTGGCTGGTCACTGGGCATCTGAGGTCTGCCTCGCCGGAAGGTAAATCCTGAAGGTTGGGGAGTGGCTTCTGATAGACTCACCACTGCCAGCGACCTCTCCACGTGTGTCTCAACTCAGATGAGAGAGCCAGAACACAGACAAGGCCCTGCCTCGCGGGGAGGGAACTGACACACCCATGACCTCTCGACACCATCAGGATAGCTTGCTCCACAGCAGTCGACCTGCTTCCAATAGCAGTGGGCTGCCAAGGCCTGGCAGCCAGGGAGAGGTGCAGGGCGAGCTGCCACCGGAGTAGAGGCTGACTCATGCAGCTCCGGCTCCGTGCTCCGCTGGTGGTTGGAAACTGGAGAGGAGGAATAAGCTCCGAGGATGAAGACGAGTGGGGTTTGGTGAGCTGTATAAGCAGTGAGGGGGAAGGGCCATGAGACTTCACTGACAAGTGTCCTGGTTTGGAAAATGGGATTATCCCAGCTAGCCAAGGGTGGCGGAGGGTTAATTGGTATTTACAGAGTTCAGGCAGTAAGGACCATGCAGGAGGATGTCCCAGGACTCATCTCACTCATTATACTCGCCTGTTCATCATGAACTTCTCATACTTGCCCCAGGAAGATACAACTCACTCTGGTCTGGCAAGGCTGGTAGAGAAATGACCTACCGAAGATGGCAGCTTTCATATCAAATGCAGAGGACATGGCTGCATCAAAAATTGGTTTTTCCAATAAATCCCAGGAAGAAAATAGGTCAGTACACACAGTTCCCCACTTCCCATTTGTTCAACAGTAGGCGGGGCCTGCAGGGACCCTGGCTGATTACCCAAAACACTCCGCCATCAAAATGCAGAGAGAACTTATCAGGAGAGTCCAGAGGTTTAATCACGGGTTGGAAGACAGAACCTTGTCAGAGCCCCTGCAGAGGAAAGGAAGTTCTCAAGCCACTGTCAAAAGACAAAAACAAAAAACTGACCATTTTATAGCAGAAAAACCTGAGTGACCTTGGGAGAAAATCGGAAGCACTGGACTTCTGGGCATCCACCTCCAGACAGACTCCGGAGCCCTGTTCCTCTTGTAGTGGCCACTGCTCTTCTGCCCCAAACCTCTGTTCTGTGTATGTGTGAAGGGGGAGCGGGGTACTGGGGAGACACAACACAGTGCCTCCCTCCCGTGGTCCCATTACCTATGAATACTTTCTACAAGCTCCACTGCCATCTCTTGCCTCACTACACCTGCCAGCAGACCGACTCACCTGGACTGGCTCCTCCAAGACTCCACTGCAAATAGGACAGATAAGATCTTCGTCAACATCCCCCTGGAAGCGGGTTACATCATACCCCATGTCTCATCACTGAAACCCAGGCCCTGGAAGGAACCACAGAGGAAAAAGAGGCCAGTTCAGAAGAAGCCTACAAACAAGTGCCAACTTGAACTCATTGCTAAGATCCATTCATTTGTCCAACAATTATTATTTTTAAAAAATATTTTTTTATTTATTTCAGAAAGGGAGAGGGAGAGAGAATAGAAACATCAGTGATGAGAGAGAATCATTGATTGGCTGCCTCCTGCACGACCCCTGGGTTTCAAGCCCGCAACCCAGGCATGTGCCCTTGACTGGAATTGAACCTGGGACCCTTCAGTCTGCAGGCCAATGCTTTATCCACTGAACCAAACAAGCTAGGGCCCAACAATTACTTATTGAGGGCCTACTAAGTGCCAGTGATTTGGGGTGAGTGGGGAGCAGACTCAAGAAATGTAACTCTAATGGGATATTACACAGCATACATTTAAAATAACGCCGAGACCAGTTTGGCTCAGTGGATGGAGCGTCGGCCTGCGGACTGAGGGGTCCCGGGTTCGATTCCAGTCAGGGGCGTGTACCTGGGTTGCGGGCGCGTCCCCGGTGGGGGATGTGCAGGAGGCGGCTGGTCGGTGTTTCTCTCTCATCGATGTTTCTAGCTCTCTATCTGTAAGAAAATCAATAAAATATATTAAAAAAAAAATATGAAGTGAGGCTGGCCGGTGTGCTCTGTGGTTGAGTGTAGACCTATGAACCAGGAGGTCACGGTTTGATTACTGGTCAGGGTACATGACCAGGTTGCGGGCTCAATTTTCAGTGGGGGGCATGCAGGAGACAGCTGATTGGTGATTCTCTCTCATCATTGATGTTTTTATCTCTTTTTTTCCCTCTCCCTTTCTCTCTGAAATCAATAAAAAAAATTTAAGTGATAAATGCTTTGACAGAGTAAGGCATTGTAAGATTATAAGGGCAAGAGATTTAGATACCTAACCCAGGCTTAAGGGAGAGGGTGATTTTGAGAAGTTTTCTAGGACTAGGTGTCACCACCAGGACAAACAAGAGGTAGGTAGGTGAGGGGATGGGGGCAGGACGGGCATTAGCGTTTTAGCCACTTTCAAAGGCCCAGAAGTAAGAGGGCATGTGATGGGTTCCGGGAACTCTAGCGGTTTGGAGAAAGGCTGACCTGAAGGGTGCCAGAGAAGTAGTGTCTAGATACAAGGCTGGAGGTGAGCAAAGGTCAGGCCCTTATATAAAGCGTTGGGACTTCATCCTGAAGCTATGGGAAGCCACTGAAAGACTGAAAAGGAATGACTGGATAAAAGTTCCCTTTTAGAATCACTCTGTCGACACAGGTGGGATTGGAGACAGGAAGGCCATGTAGGCAGGAGAGAGATGATGAGAGTCTGAACTTAGGTGGTGGCAGTGGGAGTAAAGAAGGATGGAGGTTCAAGAGAGCAAGGGCTCAAAGAGCAGTGCGGCTGCCATGCCTCCTCTTAGGGCTCCTAGGGGTTACACCCAAAGAAGAGGTCATGAACGGTGACTGGTTCTCCAGTGTAGACAGCCAACTGGATACAAGACAGCCAATCCACAGACCCACCATCAACTGTGATGTCTTGGAAAAGATAAGCTGAGAGATCAGATTGTTCTCAGAAATTCAGAATCAAGCTGTCCAATTTTTTAAAATATATTTTTATTGAGAGAGAAAGGGAGAGGGATAGAGAGATAGAAACATTGATGAGAGAGGAACATCATCGATTGAGGCAGCAACCTGGGCTTGTGCCCTGACCAGGAATTGAACCGGCAATCTCTTTGTTCTGGGTCGATGCTCAACTGCTGAGCCACACCGGCTGGGCATGCTGTTCAATTTTTAAAAGGGAAGGGGAGGGATGAATCCAAAGAGGCCTTGCTAGGTCAAGTACAAGCTAGAATATAGCACTGGATTGAGTCAGAACTGAGATGTGCCAGTTCTACTACTCTTTCATTAGCTGTGTGACCTTGGACAGACCACATAAACTTCTGAAGCCTAAGTAGTTTTTTATAAATAAATAAAATGGATATAAGTAATAATAGAAGTGACTCTCACAGAGTTGCCCTTAAAGAGATAATGCATATTAAACATTTAGCAAAGTGCCTGCTGGCACACAGTAGGTATTCAACACATGATAACAACCATTATTTATGTATGCATCTAATTTCTACTACGTGAAAAAATTCCTTAAGAGCAGAAACTCATATTCTGCATTCAATGTAGCACCAAGCACAGTTCCTCACAAATCAATAAAATGTTTGGTATATTTCAATGTTACCTTTAACTGGGAAGTTCCCAGCAACCAGGGTAAGTGGACTTCTATTTTACCTACAGAACATCTTATTTTCCAGTTTTCCTTTGGGAATCATGCCCTAGTTCCCAGGGGACATGTGAACCATCCCAGGACAACGAACTGGGGGAGCCTGGGACCGCTCCCAAAGCTCTGCAGGCAGCTCCTTCCCCTGGGATTGCACAGCTGGTGGGATGTACAACTCAGAGTGGTTGGCAACCCTCTCTGCCACGAATGAGGACAGCCTGCTTATAGAGTAAAGCCAGTAAGAAAGTAAAGCTGAGATCGAATTCGGAGATTATTTAGGTGCTGGATTCAGCCATGTGTAAAGCCACAATCAGCTTTTCAACATCAGTTACATAAACCAAAAAATTCTCTATTATGCTCAGGCTGTTTGTGCTGGGTTTTGTCTCTTTCAACTGATAAAAATCCTGATTAATACACAAGCATATGGATACAATAAATCACACGGTTCTCTTTGGAACCACTTATTTTTCTTGATCCATTTTAGATAGGAACAATGATACCTCCTGACACTACCAGTACAGACCTCCATGACTACCATTTCTCTCTATACTCATGCCTCCATCTCTAATCCCTCAAGTTCAGGGCCTTGGGCTTACTAATAATCCGTCTGAAATTGTCACTGTCAACCACGTAGGCCTGGCTATTTGAAGTGGAAGCCAGAATGCAGCGGTTCAAAGTGAACAAGAGGTGAGGCAGAGACAGGAACGGAAGATAACTCATCAAAAAGCTTGATTTCAAAGGAAGGGAAAGAGAGAACTCGCTAGAGCAGCGGTTCTCAACCTGTGGGTCGCGACCCCTTGGGGGGTCGAACAACCCTTTCACAGGGGTCGCCTAAGACCATCGGAAAACACATATATAATTACATATTGTTTTTGTGATTAATCACTATGCTTTAATTATGTTCAATTTGTAACAATGAAAATACATCCTGCATATCAGATATTTACATTACGATTTATAACAGTAGCAAAATTAGTTATGAAGTAGCAACGAAAATAATTTTATGGTTGGGGGTCACCACAACATGAGGAACTGTATTAAAGGGTCACGGCATTAGGAAGGTTGAGAACCACTGCGCTAGAGGAAGACAGGTTGAGGAAGTGGGTTGTGTTGAGGTGTTTTTCTATTTTTTTTTTCCATCTTCAACTGAGGACATGTTTTTATTGATTTTAGAGAGAGAGGAAGGGGGGGAGGGAGGGAGAGAGAGAGACTAATGTGAAGAGAGAAACACTGGTTGGAACCTACACCCTAGGTCTGTGCCCTGATTGGAATCAAACCTGCAACATTTTGGTATATGGGATGCCGCTCCAACCAACCGAGCCACCTAGCCAGGCCAGGGGATGTTTTCCTTGCGATAAGAGGCTTGAGCATGTTTATATATTGAGAGGAAGTTAAATACAAGAGAGAATCTGGTCACTGAGGTAGTGGTAAGTGGGGAGGTGATCTGGATTATGTTAAATAAAAAGAGGGACACCTTTAAAGCAGGAAGGAAGGAAGATGGTACAAAAAGAGACCCAGATAGGTTTTATTTTTATTTATTTATTTTAAAAATATTTTTATTGATTTCAAAAAGGAAGGGAGAGGGAGAGATAGAAACATCAATGATGAGAGAGAATCATTAATCGGCTGCCTCTTGCATGCCCCCTACTAGGAATCAAGCCCAAAGCCCCGGCATGTGCCCTTGACCAGAATCAAACCTGGAACCCTTCAGTCTGCAGGCCAAAACCAGCTAGGGCAAGACATGTTTAAAAATATCATACCAGGCCCGGCCAGTGTGGCTCAGTTGGTTGAGCATCGTCCCATGCACCAAGAAATTCTCAGTTCGATTCCTCGATTCCTGGTCAGGGCACATGCCCAGGTTAGAGGTTCAATCCCCAGAAGGGGGTGTGCAGGAGGCAGCTGATCAATGTTTCTCTCTCATTGATATTTCTATCTCCCTCCTTCTTCTCTAAAATCAATATAAAAAAACATATTTAAAAAATCATACCACCCTAGCCGGTTTGGCTCAGTGGATAGATTGTCGGCATGCAGACTGAAGGGTCCCAGGTTCGATTCCGGTCAAGGGCACATGCCTGGGTTGTAGGCTCAATCCCCAGTGGGGGGCCTGCAGGAGGCAGGCAATCAATGATTCTCTCTCATCATTGATGTTTCTATCTCTCTCTCTCCCTCTCCTTTCCTCTCTGAAATCAATAAAAAATATATTTTAAAAAATCATACCAATAAACTTTTTTTTTTAAATATATTTTATTGATTTTTTACAGAGAGGAAGGGAGAGAGATAGAGAGTTAGAAACATCGATGAGAGAGAAACATCGATCAGCTGCCTCCTGCACATCTCCTACTGGGGATGTGCCCGCAACCCAGGTACATGCCCTTGACCGGAATCGAACCTGGGACCTTTCAGTCCGCAGGCCGACGCTCTATCCACTGAGCCAAACCGGTTTCGGCCCAATAAACTTTTAAAAATCAAATAATTACTTATTCATTTTAATGAACAATAAAGGTATAGCTAAGTGATTATGGTAATATGAGTCCATTTGATGGAATAATGTATCTATTTTAAATGATATTTCTGGGGAATATGCTAAAAGATGATATAAT